AGGGGGATCCGGCGAGGCGATTGATTTGGTTTGGTTTGGGCCCGCCGGAGCTGCGGCGTGGTGGGGAAGGCGCGGTCGGTGGGGGGCGTCGGGCTCGCTCGAATCGGGGAAGGGATAGGTGGAAGAAAACTTGGCAGGGTGTTTGGGTGGATGGATGGACCCCGTGTCGAGCGTGGCGCCGGGCGACGAGGGCGCACGGGAGGCGGCATGGCTTGGGCTCATGTGGTAATCGCCCGCGCTGCGCGACGGACCACGAGTGAGGGCCGCGGCCAAAAAAAAAAGTATCACCGAACGGGAACCACGAGGGGGCGCTCTAGCGACTTTCTATGACCAGTTTGTATTATTAAAAAAATATTCCCTAAGGCGCCTCCTAGTATTTTTTATGTTTAGGGAAAGGACCGCTCGTAGTATTTTATATAGAGAGTAAAATACATTGGAGATTCTAATAGTATTTCAAATATGTCAAGTAGGTCCTAAAAGTCCCAGTTTTTTATGTAGCTCTTCGAGGGTGCTTCGAAAACTATAGAAATTGGAGTTGGAGTGAGTTACCAACCACTGCCACCAATGTCGCCGGAAGAAGCTTCTTGCCACTTGAGGTCGAGGCTTGGAAGAGGGAGGCACATGCCATACTCGCCGAGCTAAAGACTGGGATAGACGAGGAGGACATTGTTGAGGCCGTGAAGGGAAAGGCCTTCATGGAAATTTTCTCCCTCGACACTGCCAGCGACCCAAGCTATCATTGCTAGCTAATTGCATGTGTGCTGCAATGGGGATCATACATATTCTTGTGGTTCAACATCAATCCGTGTCCACCGTGTACATTACAACCATCATATTTGGGATTTTTTGTGAGATTTGATTTGAGTATGTGGGAAGGTAAGGAAAGTTTTGATTTAGTTCAGGTTTGGGTGAGATTTGATTTGATTTGGTTACGGGTAAGAAAAAGCAAGGAAAGTTTTGATGTAGTTGGGGTTTTATTTGGTTTGGGTATGGATGGGAGAACGCAAGGGAAGTTTTGATTTTAATTGAGATTATGGTAAGATTTTATTTTATTTGATTGAGTTGATTTTGATAAGATTTGATTGAGTTAATGGAGAGAAGGGGAGGGGACGAAATCACATTCCAGACGACTATTACGGGGGACAATGCAAGTAAGGAACAGAAGAGGTGGCTCAACTCGTTCGAGCTATAGATTAAGTAGGGTGTCATGGTTTGACTAGAAAAGTATGTTTATCATGCCTTTGACTCCATGTTAGGTCTGAATTTGAATTTGAATTTTTTTTTTGAAAAATATACATTTTGAAATGTTGTTGAATTGTGTGGACATTGAAACGCATTAATGTCAAATTGGAGTTGAAATAGAGTTCATATGCATATACGATACCTATCGTTAAACTAAGAGGAAAAAATATAGTACTAATCTGAAATAGCAAAGGGCTACAAAACCTCAAACAGTTTTAGAGATCCCAGTGCAAGACCACTCTAGAGGGTGGCCTTCTAAGGAGTCAGCCAGAGTTGAACGAATCAATTTAAAACTGCATGTATACACAGTATACACGGGTACACGTTACAAAACCCACTGTGGTCGGCATATGACAAGCAGGGGAGATGAAACACCAGTCCGACCGATCTTACAGCGTTCCTCGTAACGGGCGTGTTCCCCTAGCTCAGCCCTTCATCATGCTAAGTTGCTAGCCATTGTAAGTTCAGGTTCAACTTCCTCTGAAGTGTTTGCGATTCTTCGTCTTCGTTTTTGTGGAAGAAAACCAAGGCCAGTGACATCTACGGCATTCGCGTCCTCACGGGAGTGGCGGAAATGTACTCGTTCAGTAAACTCTTGTATTGCGCCTCCGCCTGCTGAATTTGGAGCCTTAACTGTTGCTCCTGGACACGCAAGAAAATTATAAGTTCGCAACTTCCATCAGCAAAGTGCGGTTTAAAGCAAAAATGTTTGTACTACTGATGACCATGGCAATACCTTGAGTAAAAGCTCCTTCTCAGCCACCTCCAGCTCCAAGCACCTGGAAACAACAAATTTCATGAAATTTAGCCAAAATTACCAGTGTTTGCTAAAAAAGGCAGCCGGTGGTTTTCGTACTCACTCTTCATGGAGCTGCTGATTCTCAAACTTCAAGTGCTCGAACTCATTCAGACCCCGTTCGGTCATGTGTTGGCAAATCTGTGGCATTCAAATGCAGAAGTACAAAGTTGTAAGTTAATCAAGTGCCATTGCAGTGGTAGGCAGAGAACACCTCTGTCAAGATGGATCATCCACGGAGGCACAGGATCGACCAACGCCGTAAGCCTGTAATAAACTAGCAATGGAACTTAGACTGACCTGATTATCGACCTCCAAACTCTGTATGGCCTGCCTCTTGCACGGATCCATCTGGACATCATCCTCGTTTCTCCTTTTTCTTGTCTCCGCTGAATCAGTGGCAGGCACCATCTGCGCAGCTAGCATGGAGCAAGGTGCGTGCCCGCTGGTTCCGGCAGGAACAGACAGATGCGGAGGAGCAAAGGCGATCGGAATAGCACTCGCGGGGTGATCGCGGGTGCCGCCTCTCCAGGGTGCAACCGAGAGACCGGCACCGACTGCGTTCCTCTCGGACGGTTCAGCAATGGTGTCTGATGCTGTAAGCATTCCAGGAGGGGTGGGAGAAACGGATGCACGGGGCTTCTTTTGGTATCCAATCAGGTGACTATGTAAATCCCTGAAAGCAAGTGGAAATACTAATTACAGAACAGAAGGAGACTTTGGTGGTTGTGGATTTGGAAGAAACAGAAGTGAAAACAGGAGTTACCAGTACTCAGTTGTCATGTCTTTCAAGCGAATGATCAGCTTCTGATACAGCTGCGACTTCTCAAAGTCTTGCTTGTCATGAGTGGGCTTGATAAAGTTCGCCTCCAGCACCCCAGCAACGCCTCTACCTTTACTGCTTGCAGAACTCAACACTCGATGGAAAGGCTGAACAGAGTTAATTTTAGTGTAAACAATCAGATAAATGTTTTTTTGAACCGGGCTCAGCCCCTTTCCAAACAATCAGATAGATGAAGATAATCAGGATGTGATTAAGTTGAGCTTGTTTTGATGTTTATATGCCCATTGACCATCTTGAAACAAAGTAAACACGGAGAGAATTTGAGGCTCACCAATATAAGGCGATTCCTATGGTAGATATTAAATCCATGCACACTAATTGTTGGAGCACCGTTTAAGAATCCGATACTTGTAACAACCTCACCCTGAATTAAGCAAGTGGACGCAAAAATGAGCAATGTAAACATGTGGATGCAAAAAGGAACATTGAATAAATTTAATAATTCCATGCTGACATGATTATAGTAAATGAACGGGCAATGTGGGTGAAAGACGTGAAACTTGGAAAAATAATGGTGTATTTCAAGACAAACCTCCTTTTTCCGTAGGAATTCTAGGGGTGTATAAGAAACAGCTTGACGGTATATGAGGTCAGTCGCAATGCTGTGGCGCTGAACTTCTTGTCCCCGAAGTATGATCTTGAAGTACCCGGGCAGCTGCAAATATAAGACAGAAGCATACACCTGCAAAATGCTAATTCAGCAATCTTTCATGAGTATCGGAGGTAAATGATTAGCCGTGTGATATACTCACCCTAAGAGAATAGCGCAGTTGATTTGACAGATGGTTTTCGTTCGTTCTTTTGACAGCATTAGTTGTTTCTGCTGGATTTGGCGCACCACTAATCATAATATCCTGGTGAAAGGGAAAGAGAACTTCATGACTATGAATGCCACTTCAACAATACAAAAAATTATACAAAGTCATTTAAGAAATAATATAAGCATCTGATGCTTACTTCCTCCTTGGTGTCAAAATCGAGCTCCAGAACACCATCGTCATTAGACCACAAATTGAAGACTATAATCTTTGTGCCATGTGGACCAATGTCACTGAACTGTTCCTCATCAACCATAAAATTAAAACAATCATTAGTACACTGAACTGGTGATAAGCTACTAGTAGGTAGTAACTACTAAACGAAATAGTACTAGCTACATGTTTTGTTTGAGCTTGATTGTTTCCCCCTTTGCAACCAATTGTGCCGTTTATCTCGAAGACATGAAACTTCTAGCTTTGAAAGGTCTAAGATTTGCATGTTTGGTAAAATAATTGTCTTGTAAGGGTGTAATAAAAAGATAGTATCTACAGAACAGCAGCCAATAGGAAGGACGTCTAACTTACATTGCCCATCAGATCTTCTTCTGTTGCAAAAGGGGACCATTTTAATAACACGGACAGATTTGAGCAGAACTGATCTGCACCATGTCGCTCATACTGTATAGCGTCCCCTGTCAATAAATCGTACTTGTAGTCCACCTAATGAAAACAAAGAATATCATCAGAACCATCAACATATTTTGATAAGTGCCGTGCCAAAGAAATCGGTTCACATAGCATACCATGGGAACTACGACATCCTTTTGACCGGTTTCCGCCAAGAAGGTGTAGGAGAGAAGACCAACCGATTGTGTAGGTCCACTGAAAGACCAGTAGTAGTTTGGCAATAACTCAATAAAAAGTAAGGCACAAAGATAACAAGTTATTGCACTAAAGCAAATAAAAGTGACTCCATACCTGCCCTTCATGCAACGACTGAAGACGATAGCGTCTGCCCCTAGCCGCATTGTGCTAGTCTTGAAACCGTTGCCATCTGTCAGGAAGCCCAGTGCCAATACATCAGAAGTCATATAGTTTTGGGGGCAGGATAAGTGAGTATGAAACCGAGTTAGTAGAACGTACATTGTCCAATTGAAGAACCTGATTGCTTGTCGGAAAATCCAAAGCTCATGCAACGCCTCATGGAATCGGGGTCCATGCCTCCGCCATCATCTTTGTAACAAACAGCAAATTCATAAGAACTCTTTTAGTTTTCTATTTCTGAGTTTGGATACTCTGAGTTTGGAGTATATCTGAATATTGTCGGCTGTACAGTTTATAAGAAATATTTTCTGATTGTTTTATGTCCCTTTCGTCAGGATATCGCTTGCCATTCTGAAGGAAGCAAACATGGTACTATAAGATTAACATAACAGGGTTACCTTGAACAAGCAAAGCTGGCGACCCGTTTCGCTTGTTAACGATTTTGTCCACCACGATTCTAGTAGCACCAGTTTTGATCTGTCATCAAACAAATCCATTCAGACACACGATCCCAAATTACGTACAAAATGCGCTCCTATTCGTCCCGGAAACGCAATGGAAACAATGAAGCTACTGAATTAAATTACCTCGTCGACCGCGTTATCCAGCAACTCTGCAACGGCTGCAATAATAAGGCAGAAAGAAGGTGTAAAGACGCAAATGCACAAGCAAAATATTAACTTTTGGCAGCAGACGGAGAAATTACAGCAGCAACCGCGTAACCGCTCACCTCCAAATGGCCATTTGTGCGAGGTCGCGTTCGAGTGGAGGAATTTCGGGTGGACGCACATTCGGCTCCCCACATCTGCCAAGGGAGGGCGAGCAAGAAGAAGGAACGGTGAGAAAGCATGCGAAACTGCGAAATTGGCAGGAAAGAACCGGGACATTGCGGCGTGCTTACTTCGAGGCGGTTGCGCGGGGCTCCCGCCGGCCGCGTCGTAGTCGCCGGCGGTCCAGAACTTCCTGCTGACCCGCGCGGCGAGGAGAGGAGGAGGAGGAGGAGCGGGGCGGCGAGCCGGAGCGCCCGCCGCCTCGGCGTCGCGGCTGCAGCCGCCTTCCGGCTCGAGGGAGGCGGCCCGGTTGACGACGCAGGCGGCCTGCTGCGGGGCCGCGGAGACGCGCGCGCCGCGGCCCAGCGGCGTCGGCGCCGCCTGGCAGACGCCGAACCCGGGGACGCCTCGCTGGTTGTGGCTGGTGACCGGGGCCAAGAAGGGCTTCACGTCCCGCCGCGTGTCCATGGGGTCCGTCGTCGTCCCGGTGTGGCGGTTCCCTGTGCACATGTCAGACACCACGGATCAGTGGCGCGATATGGCCGTGCAGTTGCGAGATCACGTCCCTGATTAACCCAGAGAAACCAGCAAATTCTCCACACCAGAAAACAAGAAAAGAAGTGGAAAATATAGCAAAAATAATTTTCAGCCCTGATGATGAAAGATTAAAAGGTTTAAGGCAAGAAGAGTTTGGTAAACCTAATTTCAATACCTTTTGATGAAGCACCACAGATTCAATAAGTGTATGTGCCCCTTAGGCTATCTTCATGGGTATATATATACTTGAATAGAAGTGGGGGAGGG